TTTAAATCAATTTGTTTATAAACTAATATTAAATTTTATATTTTATAAATCAATTTACTTAACAAACTAATATTCAATTTTTTATTTTTAACTTTTTAAAAAAAGATCAATTTATGATAAATTACATTGTCAATATATATAGCAAACTATTTTTGAATATGTGATCATTATATTTTTTTAATTTAAATATCAATAAATTCACGTAATATACGTTTACACCAATTATGTTCTGCTTTTGATTTCTGCAACCTTTTCAAAGTCACGATTTTTTATATAAACTAATCTTCAAAAATACTTTATGGATTACACATATATTCAAAGATACTTCATGAATGACATGCCTATTTTGATGCAGATCGACACCGGGTCAAAGTATAGTATTCTACCGATTCATATCGCGAAAAAGATTGGAGTAAAAATCTTAAATAAATCAGATATTAAATTAACTGGTTATGATGGAAACACAATAAATGTTTTAGGAACTACCAAAGTCAAGGCAAAATTCGAAGACAAAAGTCAAATCTTAACTGCTTATGTAGTCCAGAGTGATAAGATTGCACTGTTAGGAAGGACCTGGATAGCAGTCTTTAGAAATATACTAGATAGATTTGTAAACTTAGTGGAAGAAGATTATGACAATACTATTCAAGAACTGATCAAACAATGCGAGTCAAAACTTAGCAAGAAACCAATACTACGCAATTATGTCAAACTACATCTAAAACAAGGTGCTACACCGAAAATCATACCTCCCAGGCGTGTACCTTATTCTAGAATGGAATTGGTTACAAAAGAACTACAGAAGTGGATAAGCGACAAAATAATCGAACCTGTTGAAGAGGTAAGATGGGCCAGTCCTCTCACTCCCGTTGTCAAGAGCGATGGTTCAATTCGGCTATGTGTTGACTTCAAGAATACTATTAATCCTGCGTTAGAGGATTTCAAGAACCCAATTCCACGCATTAATGACCTTATGGCAAAGTTATCGAAAGGCAAGAAATTTACAAAGATCGACTTTAAAAATGCATTTCTTCAAGTTCCAATACACAAAGAATCAAGAGACTTTCTCACTATTTCAACTCATAAAGGCTATTTCAGGTTTACAAGACTTCCGTTTGGATTAAAAACTTCGTCAGCAATATTCCAACAAACCATGGATAATATTTTCGGGAACATGAAAGACGTCGTGTTTTATATTGATGACTTATTGATTACTGGGGAGGATGATGAAGCTCACGTGAACAACATAAAAATGGTATTTGACAAAATATCAAAGTATGGGCTTACACCAAACTTCACAAAGAGTATATTTTAAAAAAAAAAACTACGGTTTCTAGGTCACGATATAGACGACAATGGAATCCATCCGAACGCAGATAAAATAAAGGCTATTTCTAATATGCCGGAACCTAAGACAAAAGAAGAGTTGGCAACTTTTTTGGGGATGGCGAGCTATTATCGAAAATTTCTGTGCAATTTTGCTGACATCGCCGATCCCTTATACAAAATAGTAAATAAAGACAAGTGGTCATGGAATAGTACACATCAAGAAAGCTTTGATTACCTAAAAAAACTCATAAGCACTCCGCCTACGTTAAATTTTTATAACCCGGATCTACCAGTGGGCATTGCAACTGATGCTTCAAAGAAAGGTTTAGGCGCAGTCTTATTTCATATTGAGGGTGATGGCAAAGAAAAACCCATCGCTTTCGCGTCAAGAGCACTATTGAAATCAGAGTTAAATTATACCAATATCGAAAGAGAAGCTTTGTCGGTAATTTACGCGGTTAAAAAATTCCAGGAGTATTTAATAGGCACAAGATTTGTAATAATTACCGACCACAAGCCACTCGTGTATATATTTATTAAGGGACTTAAGGACAATTCTTCCATATCAATGCGACTCCAAAAATGGAACTTGGCTATGGGAGCGCATGACTTTACGATAGTTCACAGACCCGGGAAACGAAATATTGTACCAGACTGTTTGTCCAGATTACCACTAATGAATACAGAAGAGATGGTACAAAAGTTAGATGACGAAATAATTGATGACAATTTTTGGGACATACCAATAAATTTTAAAAGAATAGTTAAAGAAACTAATATTGATCAAGAACTAATGGAAGTAATTAATGATATAAGGAATCATGAGCAGATAAAGAACAAAACGTATAAAAATATGGTATTGGAATTGAGTTTAATCAAAGGTTGCCTTTTTAAAGAGAATAGGATCATAATACCGAAAGGTATGAGAAAAGAGATTTTGCAAGAGTTGCATAATGGGCATCTCGGTGCTGGAAAAACAAAATCATTAGCGAGAGAATTTGACATGTTTGGCACATATATCTTGAGTGCGAATGGCAATATCTGCATCTTCGTTTTTTTCCATCTATAATTTTGGATAAATAATGTCCAGATGAATCAGTTGAGTTTTCACTCTGTAATTCAAACTGGCTGGCGTGCCCTGTACTTAAATTTTTTTCAATTTTTACTGGTGTTCGAAGTAGGTAGTTAGTAATTTCTCGTCTAAATGTAAGCAAACTCTTCTTGTCATCTCGATTCAAAAATTTCCAGATTTTCCACAAATTTACCAAAGCTGCATCGATAAAATTGATGAATATTGGCTTTCTCTTATTCTTATTCTATAAGTAGATATGAGATTATCACACAGATCAACTCCATCCATGTGTTTGTTATAAGCAGTTATCATATTTGGCTGAGGAATTTTTATTTTAGAAGATATTTTCTTGGAATATCTTAAAACATTAGAAAGCAAAGAGATAGTGTGGCATGTGGATGCAACGGTCACCACCGAATTATCATTCCAACGAACTACAAATATTTCGTTTAATTTTTCAAACCTATAATCATAATATCCTCTTTCTTTTTTTGCTACAACCTTTATAGATTCAACTGGGCAATGCTCTATTCTATTGTCCCTCACAGTTCCAGTTGCAAAATATCCCATTTGTTTTAAGTATGACAAGAGTTTAAATGATGTAAAGAAATTATCAAAATATATTTTATGGTAATTTGGTTTTTGCAATGCCTTTAATAATTTTATGATTACATTTCCACCTAATCCATATTCTTATTTATTTTCGCTTTTTCCTTGATATATATCAAATGAGAATACGTAACCGTCGGAAGAAGCCAATATCCAAGACTTGTATCCGAATCTAATTGGTTTTCCTTTTATGAACATTTTGCAAGAATGTCTTCCTCTATATGGTATCATCTGTTCATCTATTGATAAATGATGTTTGAAAATTCCGAATTGCTGAAATTTATTATTCAATATATTAATGTAAGGCCTAACTTTATAAAATCTATCATGTATATCTATTTTTGTATTGTCTGCCAAATGGATATTATATTTCAAATTTCGAAATTGTAATTGGGTCATTGTATCCCGGATTATTGGAATAGAAATATCGCTATCATTAGACCAGTACATTCTTTCTTGTGGGAGAGAATGATATCCAGTAAATAATAGAATTCCAATAAATCTCTGAATATCTTGGATGGTTATGCATATGTTAGGTCTATTCATTTGTTTAGCATAAATATTACTTTGTTTTACAATTAGGGAATATAAGTTCTTCGTCGAAAATTAAAGAAAATATATCTGATGGACTTTTACCATGTAAATCATTTTCAAGTTTTATTACATCTTCCTTTTCTCCATTTGGGCTTGAAGAATATATTGCATCCGTTTTTCTCCATTTTAAATTGTGAGAAATTCGAGAATAGCTTCTTGTAGAATATGGTTCTGGAAGGTCGTCATCAACTGAATTATGAATATCCAATTCTCCAGCTGTATCTGAAGGCAAAACTCCGAAATTTGTTAAGTCATTTTCATCGGAATCTTCTTCATCACTAACTGCAGAGGGGTTTGGCGGAATTATAACCATATCTCTTTCTTCAATAGTTCCTCTTCAAAAAGTTGAGCAAGCGCTTGTGCAATTGTTAGAAAACGTTTCATTAAAAAAATTTATTAAAAATTAAATATCTAGACAAATTATTTTCGTAGAATCTTGATGTTTTTATTAGTCATCTATTATTTTGATAATTTTGATTGAATTGACAAAACAGGTGCATAATATTTTATATAAATAAAATAAAATCTTCAGAAAGGAAGAGGCTATAATTTTAAACTTTTGAATATTTATGAACCTAATAATTTCATATAATTTGATCGGGATAAAAAATTATAATAGGAACAATATATTATTCGATTTAATCTCAGGGGCCTAAAAATTTTTTTTAAATTATTTTCAAAAGGTCTTTTTTTGGGAATAAAATTTTTAAAAAAAAATTCTTAGGAGGCTCGAGCCACCCACCCCTAGTGACGGTAGTGGTTTTAAGTATAATATAAAAAATTATTGATTATGTTAAATTTCATTTGTTTGAATTTTTTAAAATAATTTATACTGCTAGATGGTTAACGGTGCATATATGCACCAGTCAACTTTATGTGGTTACCTATTAAAATTTTAAATTAAAATTTTAATTATTTAAAAATTCAAAAATGATTGATAAATATTGATATATCTATAAAGAATATATACACACTAGTTTTCATCGAAATAATTTTATAATATGCTTGTGAGATCACTTAAAAAATTTTAGACCTCATAAATTCGCAAAGTTTGAGGGTTTCTTAGAGAGACAAAAAAATATTTTTTTCATATTTTTCTTTTCCAGTTTTGAAGTACAATGTCTGAACTATATAAAAATCTTTTTTATTATTTTTTAAAATAAAAACTACTATGTTAAAATAAGGTATATAGGAGGTGGTGCATATATGCACCGTTAACCAGCCACTTTGAGATTAAATTTCTCCTCAAATTCTCTTATTAATAAGGTTTAAAAGAAAGAAAAAAAGAAAAATATATGCAATCAAATATATCTCATTGAATTAAGGGCACAGGATAGCTTAAACTCATACATGTTTATATATTTAAGCATTATGATTTCAGAATAAATGGACTTACCATATCGATTCCTTCATAGTAAAATATAATTCCATTAGGAGATATAGTACGAAAACGAATGTAAATATTCATTTTAACATCTTGGACTGGTTTGGGTAGTGTTACGAATGACTCTGCTGTGTTAAACGTCACGGGTTGAGAAATCAACAGGGAATTGTCTTCATATTTTGATTCATCCTTAATACTACCATCTTTACTATATACTGCATTGTGGTCTTCTATACCTATGATAGAATAAGGCTTAGTACTCAGAGCGAATACATTATCCTCTTTGACTTCCCCATGTACGATTAAGTTCCTGTTATTATTATCACTATTTTTTAGCTGGTTAGAATTACTAACGTCGTTAATGATTATATTTGACCTTATATCGTAGAGTTTTGAAGCTTCGTATATATCGTACCCTGATTGATTGAGCCATTTAGGTTTAACTGGGGTAGTGGGACCTCCGTTTATAAGAGTATCGAATATGTTTAGGTTATTAAATACGAATTTTCTTATTTTTCCTCTAAAGCTAGAGGTTTGACGATGGGTAAAATTTATAGCCGTGTTGGAAAGTACATTAAAGGATCCTATATCTATCGCCCGAAAATTGAGCGTTGGAATTGAGAACGCTTCATTTAAGGTATTTTTTTGTGATTCCGAGGATTTGTGTATTTTTTTCGTTATCTTATGATGTGGACTAGAGTTGTTAACTTTTTTGTACTTAAAAGGAATTGAATCTTTTGGTAAAAAAAATAACTAATTAAAAAATCATAAATGAAATTCGGGGCAACGGAAACGTGGTCGTCTTAAGCTGTAAGGGGAACATAAGATAATATTTTATATGGAAGATATAGATTGAAGAAGAATATCAATCCAAAAATGGGGGAAGGGGAGTTGGTTACGCAAAAAAAATTGAGTTGTAAAGATTAGTATTTTTACGTGCAATTCTTATTCAGTCAAATAATTTTTCATCATTAATTATTAATGATATATGAGAGTCTATATATAATGTGTACAAGTTTTTATGACAAATAGAAATGCTAACATGATTCTGGTATCCTGTCATCAATTTGGATTTCCATTTTATCCCCGTACCGTTTAAATAGAAGATAATGCCATGAGCCGTCGCTTAGATTATCACCTTGTCGGAATATCTTGTAATAAATTTATGGACAAACAAATAAATATACTTATTATGGAATTTAAATTTTATTTCTCAGAAGTATCAAATAGTATAAGGAAATGTACCAAATTTAACTTATTAATTATCATAATATAAAGATGATGCCTCTTTAATAGTGAGACACAAAAAAATGGTCCTCTTAGTTTTATTATATCAAAATTTTCTAAGTTTGCAATGTAAAATTGGTTTAAATTTCCTCATAAGAGAGTACAATAATATTCTAAGTATACCTATTATAAATATCTATATATATTTACTATAGGTCCATTCCCGAAATTTAAGAAGATCTTTAGCGACGAATCAATGATGGAAAGTTGTAAAGAAACCATTTCTTCCCTGTAATTCATAGTCGACACCAAGAATCCGTTGGGTTCTTTAGTCAAAAACCAAAAACTGATCTCTTCAGCCTCTGTACTAACCTCCTCCTTAAAACTAATTCTAATAAAATCCGAACCTTTAAACTCGAAATATTTGGCATCTGTAATAATTTTTTTTTGAAAGTTTAAAACGATGATATATAGTTATATTTTACTACAATGGGAATACTTATATTTTCATATGCAAAATAAATATAAATAAAACTAAAAAAACTCGTAAGCCCTTTTAAGTCCTGCGAACTAATTTATCATCAATTTGCATGTTATTTTATAACCACTAAGAACGCTTAATAATTTAATCTGATATTTCGATATAATTATATAATAAATGCATTTGTATTTTTTTTAACTCAGGCTAATATAGGCTTTTTCTTGAATTTTATTACGTTTTAACTTTTAGTCGTTTTAATGTTACTATTTTGGATAAATTGTAACTTTCTATATCTTTTAGTTTTTATGATATACTTTCTATTATTATTAGATTGCAAATAGAATCTGACAATATTTATTATAATGCTAGGATTTTTATTATTAAGAATATTATTTTTGTATTTAGGTGCCCATAAATGCCAAACGAAACCATTTTATTTTTTTAAAATACATTGTAAAATAAAATTTAAACTGGAAATGGAGTATATAAAAATAATTTATTTAAAAAATTTTTTTGCGTTTGGCAAAAATGACTTATAAATTAAATTTGAAGTTTTAGATATATCAGAGATCTACAACCCGGTTCGTTAAAAATTTTCGCACTAGTAATTAGGCCGACCAGTCAAATATTTTGAATATCCCTGCTCGGCTCGTCATAATTTTTACTGCTCAGCCCGGCTTTCGAAAGAGGCAGGCTTTATAGATTTCTAATATATACACATATTACTGAATAAATCTCAAGCATAACTAATTTATTAAATTGTTTCAAGAAATGTGCAAAAAATAAATAAAAAATATTTAAAATAAAGATTATTTTAATATCAGAATGATATTACTATTAACTTAGATCAGGCATAACCAATGGGGACCAACCCCATAAAAAATTTGGCTGTTCTTGGAAATATTATTTTAAGCTAATAAAAAATTTTCCCTACACAACCTCCTACCCCCCCCCCCCCCCCCCCCCCCCATCTCCCTTTTCCCCTAAACTGTATACAATATAAATTATAAGGAAGAATTTAAAATGAAAATTAGAATAACGACTATAATTAAAATTTTTTTTAAAAAAAGGATTTAAATTTTAAAAAAGTGTAAACCCAAAATTATTTATATAAAAATCTAATTTAGCCAAAGGCCTACAATGAGTGGACCATCTCCAATAAAATGATTAAGGAAAAAATTCATCAAATAGTGATCCATGCCCTTAGAAAAATCCTGGATACGTCTATGACTTACATCAATAATTGTCTAAACTCTACAAATATTATATCAGAGTTTAGAACTGGGAACAAAAATGGTTTCGGTTTTAGGTTATAGATATTTATCAAATTCTGATTACGGTTCAACCTGCCTCTTAGAATAGTTATAGCTTCAAGCTCTCTCTCTTAACAATTAATGACAAACTTAACACTAAATTAATCTTCTAAAATAGTTTTTCAGAGTCCTAAAACTTTAAAAAGAAGTTCTAGTTTCGATTCCTAGACATCTGGAGAGGAGGTTCTATCTCATAGATTTGAATTGGTTGACTTCTGGTTTCGTTCCAAACATTGAATAAATTTTTTCCTGTGGCCAAAGAATCGAAAATCACTATTATAAAGTATAAATATTTTTTTAGAAGGTTGGTTGTTTTTTAGTGTAAGCCATTACTGTGCTAGAAGTATGGAGGAATATTTAAGATTAAAATGGAGCACATTTTTTAACTTTTAAAGACTTGATTTTTCCGGAATGAGTAGTAAACTTATATAAATTTTAGCCAATTTTGACTGTGAAATTAAATTTTGTGTCCTACGATATATACCATATATATACTTATAATTTTTTAAATATTTGTAATAAAAAAAATGCGCAAATGTTTTTTTTAAAGCTAAAATCAATAATAATAAATTTAACGCTTAATCCCTAAAAGAAACTCTTAATATTATTTACAAATAATTCGAAACATTTTTTAAAGAATGTCTAGCCATTTTAACTTAATAACATTAAGTTTATTAACAATACGGAAAAGTAAAAATGATTCATTAACTAATATTAAATTTAAAAATAATAAAATAAGGCATAGTGTAAAATGTTATGATATACAGTTATCATAGGGATTATCTCAGAATTAAGAATCAGAAGTATTTTATTTGGTTAACATATAAGTAAGTAAAATGAATAATGATATCTATATAATAATTTTATGCTTTATATTTTTATTTATATATAACAAGAAAATCATGTATATTTTTATTGTCACAAACATTTGTTAAATAATATATAAAAAATCTAGTGTTGTTAAGGTAATGTAACTAGTTACATTTTTGCTAAAAAATAACTACAACTAATTATATTTTACCAATGTAACTGCCAAAAGTAACTAGTTACTTTTAAAAATATGTATGTATAAATCTAAATAAATGAAGATAATGATTCAGATATTGAATACATTTCAATAGAAGATATACTTCCTCTGGGCTAACTAATTATAATATAAATGACTTCGACTACCTTCCCAGGCATCGAAGATGTTCCTGTCACACATTAAACTTAGTGGCAACACAAGATGCCAATAAAATACTTTTAAACAATGAGGATTATAGGAAAGTGTATAAGGTTGCTATATCTAAATGTCAACGTTTGTGGAATACACAAAACAAATCTGGGCCATCAGCTGAGCAAATTAAAAAGAGATTACATTCTCAGCTGCCATATCCCATTGTAACAAGATTGGGTTTTTTATGCATCTTTATCTAAAATATTATCACTTATAAATGAAATGTCTTTGGATTTCGATTTATTATGTAATGAATTAGAATTGTGTAGATTTACATCACAAGATCGTGAGTTTTTAAAGAATATTGCAGTGTAAATTTAAATTATCTTATAAATAATTTAAAATTAAAAAAATTAGATTATGCAACCAGTAGCTAAAGCTATTGATATACTAGAAGGTGAAAAATATATGTATCTAGGTTATTATACCCCAACAATAACACAGATACTTATCTGTCTGGTAGGTGTTCAAGAATTAAAATATTGTCAACCTTTAAAAGATGCTATATTAGCTAGTATTAAAAAAAGGTAACCTAAATTAAATAATTATTTATAAATTAATAATACAATGATATAGGTTTCATGATCTTTATGTTAATGATAACATAATTGCTGCTATTCTTCATCCACTATTTAAAACTGATTGGCCTTGGATAAGGCAAGAAAAGAAGAGATCAATAAAGAGGGAAATTTTAAATTTAATAATTACTTTAATACCTCGCGGTGAATCTAACACAAATGGCTCATGTTCGCAACAAACATCATTAGATGTAGTTGGATTTTTTGATTTAAACCGTCAAAATATTAAAGATAATGATGAATTTATTGAAAATTTTATTAAATCCAATAACAGCAGATTATCTTTATATGACGATTTTCCAAATTTAAAAAAAAACTCATTATTAAATATAATGTTGTTATTACATCAAGTGCTCCTGTAGAGCATTTATTCAGTCTAGGGAAGCTCATCTTTGGAGAGAAACGAGCTCGTCTCCTAGATAAAAATTTTGAAATCTAATTGTTGTTAAAAGCAAATAAACATTTATTAAAAATTTGTTATGAAGAATAAATATGTTTTTTTTTCGCAAATATATAGGATATTTTTATTCGATGTAATATATATTCTATTATCCGATATTTTTTTCGGTTTACTTATTTTTTTATATAAATAAATTGTATATTTTTTTAAAACAAATGATTATAATTTGCAGAGTTGTAAGATACTTTTTTAAATGGATCTAGATACAGATACATCGTCTAAAATAATATCTAGATATCGATATTTTAATCAAAAATCTATCTAGATACAGATACAGATATCACATTTTTATATCTAGATACAGAATCTAGATACTTGTATCAAGATCCTTTAACAACTCTGATAATTTGTATATCATAATTTTTTATATTAAATAAATTCGTTCAGTAAATAAATGCGCTATATGAATGATGTATAAAGTAACTTATAATGTAACTAGTTACTTTTGAAAAATAACTAGCTGATAACTAGTAACGTAACTAGTTATGTTCCAAAAGTAACTTAATACTAAAAAAATTATATTAACCATTAACCGTTAATATATGTAATATTATTCACTTATATTTATATATAGCAAAGTTAATTTGTTTTCTTATGAAAGTAAATTGGTATATAAGAAAATTTCTCTTTTCTTGTTTATCCGAAAGACATAATTTTATAAGAAAATATATACAACAGTTATCATAGGCACCGAGTTCATTGGTGCAGCGAGGCTCACGCACGTTCTCTTTGAAATACTCTACAAAATAGATAATATTGACCCATAAATATTTTAAAACATCATATTTTCTATAAAAAATTTACAGCCTCTATAAAAAATTTCATAAGTCCTGATATCAAAATTAAGGACGGACCAAAAACTGATAAGACCGATATCAAAAGACTGGCTGGTATTTTTTTAATTCATAACCTCCATATTGAGACCAAAATATAAATTAGGAACTATTTAAATATTTTACATTGACTTTAAATTTTTTTTTTACTATTTATTAAATAATTAAATTTAACACTAATTTTATTGTAAAATTCCTTGATTTTTTTTATTTTACTATTTTTTTGCTATTTTTTTTTAAAAAAAATGTACTTTAATAATATTTTTTTTTGGTTTGCAATTTTATTTATTTTTTGGCTTTTGGAAGTGCCCATTTGTCTTATTTCATTGGATTTTTCCTCAACCCTACCACCATTAACTGGCCACTTTAGATATGGTGGTCATTATTAATTAGAAAATATTTAAGCCGTTTTTGATTGCATTTGGAAGAAAAATAATTAATTATACTATTTCTTTTTTATAAATAAGAATATTAATAATTGTATATATTATAAAATTATGTTATATTTTTTTTTACCAGAGATGAATAGATTTATTTATAATTAAGA